TCCCGCCCTCCACCAACCGCATCATCGCCAAGCGCATCATCCTAACAGGCCACCCTTACAAGATCAACAAGCGCGTCGTCACAGTGCGTTACATGTTCTTCAACGACGGCGACGTCAAGTGGTTCAAGAGCTTACCGCTGTGGACGAAGCGCGGAAGGAGCGGTTTTATCAAGGAGAGTTTGGGTACGCACGGATACTTCAAGGCTACTTTCGATGGCAAGATCAGCCCTATGGATGCTGTTGCTGTTAGTTTGTACAAGAGGGTCTACCCGAGAGGCGCGAGAGCGTGGAGGGGTGAGCTGGACCAGGCAGGTGAGATGGAACAAGCTGCTTAGAGGCTTACGACGCGTCAATGACTTTTATGATATCATGGGGTTTTAGATAGGTTAAAATGGGTATGGAGTTTTGTTGTTCGTTCTCTACGAAGTCAGTCCCTCGGTCAACTATGTGTGAAGCAGATCCGTGAAATAAACGCCGTGAAATGCTGATAAAGATTCGTACTTTTCACCGCCAACGCCAACATGAAGTTTGAAACAGCATCAAGCCAATTCTCCCCAGACTCACTTCCTAGCAAACCTCTCAAGCGCGGGTCCATAATCCTTCTTCAACCTCTCCTTCCTCTCAATCTGCCTCTTCTGCATATTCTTCAACGCCTCCCTCGCCCTCTCCTTCTCCTCATCAACCACATTCTTCGTCCCACTCTTCCTCAAATACCTCCTCAGCGCCGAATTTCTACCCTTCCCCCTCTTCTTCAACATATCCACCTTATCCGGCTCCTTCTCGCCCCTCGCAGCGCGGTACTCCCGTTGCCGCTCTTCATTAGACGCGAGATCGAGGTTACCGACGAAATTGGGGTCGAGCGCAATCATCTCGGGTTGGATCTTCTCAAGCAGGGCATGCACTTCTGTTTCGCGGCGCTGCTTGGAGGTTTCGTAGGGGTTGGTGCCGGGCTCGAGGGTGTCGGGGTTGGCTTCTCCGGCGCCGGGCACGATGATGGAGGAGAAGCCTTTGTCGTGCGATATGCCGAGGACGTCTTCGAAGGGGCAGAAGCGCACGCGGCTGACGTTTAGGCCTTCGCCGCCCCAGCCCATGTACGGCATGATGGGGGGTGCGGCGTCTTCGGGGTTGCGGCGGAAAATGTCGTCTTTGTAGATGGAGGTCTGTGTGCCGTAGCCGACGGCTGTGAGGTTGCGGTCGGAGATGGAGAGCGTGGTGCCCGGGACGCGGAGGTGGGTTTGGTACATTTCCTTGAACATGCGGACGTCCCAGACGGACATGCGTCGGTCTTGGGATGTGCTGACCATGTATGTTCCTGATCTGTCGACTGCGATGCTTCGAACGGGGCCGCGATGTGGGAGGAGTTTGACGAGGGGTGTGGCGCTGTTGGGCGACCAGAGTGTTACGAGACCTTTTTGGTGGCCGACGTGCAGGATGGCGTTGTGTGAATTCTGTGCGAAAGCTGTCGCAGGGCCGAGTTTTGTGTATAGTTGTGGTAGGGATTGTCCTGTCGAAACATCGGTGTATCGTATTATACCCGCGGTCGATACCGAGGCGAGGAGGAAGTGGTAGGGGAGGTATTCGAGGTGTGTTGCTTCGGAGTGGTTCTTAAGCTTGTGCATCTCCACGCCGTCGCCCGAGTAGATGTAGACACAGTTCTTCTGCGCGACCGCAAAGTTCTTCTGGTTGCTCGTGTGCAGCCATCGCGCGTCTCGCACCGTCTCGTTGAGCTGGAGTTCGCAGCCGACCTTTCCGTCTCGCCAGTCAAAGGTCGCGACATGTCCTTTCCTGCCTGCGATCAACAAGTCACGGCCGTTGCGACTGTACTCGCATACGTCGTAAGGACCCAGACCGTCCAATTTCAATTCGAAGCCTTTCTTTGCTGTCTCCAGACCAACTTCCCGCTTGATCTCGTCTTGTCGCACCTTGTATGTCCTTTCCAGCTCATTCTCGGTTTCCAACAGTCCTGGGTTGTTCTCGAGCAGAACTTCGACATTCTTCGCTTCTATCGCCGCCTGCTTGTTCTTCGCCTCAAGCGATGTGATGTTTCTCCGCAGCTTCTTGTCCTTGACTGTTTTCGGCCGTATGCGGTCGCCGCGCCCATATTGTTTTGTGGCTGATTCGGTGAATTCTGCGATCGCGCGGGTGTCTTCGTCGTCTATGGGCGCTGCGTTTTGCGACTTGCGCCGCGGTTGCGCTGTGCTGGGCTTGGAGCCGCGTTCGGTGGCCATAATGCAGTTGCGGTGGCTGGCAGCCTTTTTGCGACAGGGGAACTTCGATCCGCTTCGTAAGCTAGTTTTGTGATTGAGGAATTGCCTGCACGTATTCGCTGAGAGAGTATGCGCAAAAGGTTCCTGGTCGCGAATGCCCCAATCCTAGAATTATTTCTGCCGGCATTCACCGCTTCGAAATCTTGGCGACACTAGTGATGCACAACCCAAACTCCACGCCTCTCTCAGCATTGCTAAACTTCTGTTTCGCTGATTTCACGTGAAATCCAACACTATCCCCGCTGATATCCGTCGAAGTCCTTAGGCCGGGTCATCTAGATTATCTTGATTAGGCATTGCAAGCAGTAGCATCTCAGCGTGACATTCACTTTGTGCCTCCGCACGAGTTATGTTTGTGTGCCGACATCCTTCCTCTCGGGGTTTCCAAGGTTCGTACTGGAGGTAGAGGTGACGTTGGAACCGAATGTACCCTTTGTCTGTTTATCGGTGCTTGATGTAAGGTCCATCGCCTCGGCATTGCTCGACATTTGAAGCTGAGGTAAGGGTTGAGCGGCTGCTTGAGCTTGAGCGTCAGCTGCTGCTTGAGCTTGTCGAAGCTGGTGCGCAGCAGCGCGGGCACGCATTTTAGCCTTTCTGGCCTCTGATGGCTTCCCAGATTGTCCCTTACGACCCATGGCAGTAGTTAAAGAGAGATTGGGAAAAGATTGAGGGGCCTGGAAACCCTGGAGATGTAGCAGAGGTTTAGACAGCTTCAAGGCTGTGTGCTCAGTGTGTATGCTCAGGTATTTGTACAGGACTCCAGACGATGACTGCTACTCAGCGCCGAGATCGCAGTATCACATGCTACGCATGTGTTGGGCAGCTGCAGCTTCTCTCACTGGCTCCTGCCTTCACCTTGAGTTCGGCCCAAACAAACAACGTGTATCCTTAGGCTTCGCTTAGGCATCCCTCTCTTATTCCCACCGTTGTACAGGGTCTCAGGGTCTCTCATGAACCTCATTGCACTCTCTCGTTCTCATACTTCACGTACTCCTCTACAACACCAGTTGCCAACGATGGGAGGCCGCCGCAATGTGCACGCTTACAACCAGGACGAGATTGACAGGTACGTACAGATAACATTGACCGGAAATGCCAAAGACAGCATGACTACTATTGAAACAACCCAGTCGTTGTTCAATTTGACGCGCTGCTAACTAGTCTTCCCAGGCTCCAGGGTATCCCGCTTCCCATGAAGATCAAATGCGGCCGGTGCCACAAGAACCTCCCTCAAGTCAAGTATTCCACCAAGCAGCTGACCGATGCGCGACACCAAATCAAAACCTCAAGCAAGATCACCAAGCCCATCAACTGCCACAGTTGCACTGGGCAGCAGAAGGTCGAGATCGAGTGCACCATGTGTGGCAAGACGAAGGGCTTGGAGGAGTTTGCGAAGTCTCAGCGCGCCAAACCCGACACTGCCAAATGCTTCAAGTGTGTTGAGCTTCAGCTTGCTGATGAGGCCGTTGACGGAGACCGCTATGAGGATCCGACTAGGTCCTTCGTTCCGCCCGACCACTCCCAGGGCCAGTTTCCCGAGTACTGGTCCGCAGCTACGAGTGAAACATCTTCTACTTATGTGGGTTTCCACAACGGCTGTATGTGGCGGCTTACTGACCTCTATAGGGAGACGATGAGTGGAAGACTGTTAACGGCATCAACCGACGAACCGAGCGCAAGGATATTGAAGACGGAGGTATTGCGCTGTCGGCTGGCTTCCAGAAGGCCATGTCCATCAACGGCTCAGCAGACGAGAGCCTCATCGACACCGAATACTCCTACCCGGCTGGCCATGGGAACGCCAACACCGACAGCTGGAGCGAGGTCCGCACCAAGTCCTGGCACACCCAGTCCAATGCGGCTCCTAGTGCGAGCTCAGGCTTCAACCCCAACGCCTATCGTCGCTCGACTTCCTCCGTCACCGGCTCGTCCCACACTTTTACCTCCAGCGTGGCTGAGCGATCTGACACTTCGGAGATCCGCCCCAACGGATGGGCCAAGATTCGTGCTGCTCCCCGAGGTCCTCCTATGGTATGTTTAACGAAGAATCCTTAGGATCATGAGTCTTAGCAAAAACAATACTGACCATGTCATAGATGCCTATGGGTGATACTGTCCGACAGACAGGATCCACTGTCGATGCTTGGGACTCGGATGAGGAGGAAGACGAAGAAGACGAGGACGATGATGACAGTGACGACGACACAGTCATCTAGTCACTTGGCCTCGGTATATGGAGATGACAGAGGTTGACAAGTATGCACAACGGACAAGATCCTGTTCTGCGAGGGGATGCGGGAGTTTGGATTGGATTGGCGTTTGATGTGTACTTGGATGATATGATTTAGCTGTGGTCATGACAGCGAATGGTCTACCACGTGCTGTCCCACCGGAGGGACGTACATAGGACTACAAAAGTTGAATTCCTGAATCGATAGCGTTATGGATAGCCCTATCGCACGACTATGGTGACGGTGAAAGAAATGCCGTCAGGGGTAGACTAATCCGGAAAAAGCGACTAATCGCCACCACGTGATTACGCGCCGCCGCCCCAACGCGCCTTCCTGCGCATGTCCCACCCCACTCACACCCAGCGCAGTCGCACCACCACGACTGAACCGCAACACCTTTCTTTCAAGTCACTTTCGTTTCAATCGCTCTTACAGTAAGAAATAGATACAGGCATCATGCAAGTCAAGATTCGCCATTCGAATCAATGAGCGCGCAAGACTAATGAGTGGCGACAGGAGCGGACGACGACCTAGAGGCGCAGGCATTCGAGGGCCGCACTCTGCCTTGACAGATTTTCTGGCGGTGAGTGACATCTGTTCTGGGGACAAGCATGCCCAACATTCGAGACTTGCGACATGGAGATCGAAAGCGGCTGGGTTCTTGCTCGATAGCGGCCGCGCAAACCTCAATGGGCGAGGCTTGAGAGGGACACTCGCTAATACCTCATTATCAGGCGAACAACATCTCTGCAGCAGAGATTCGCGATTCGTACGAACAGCGCCGTCAACAAGCCGAGCGAGACGCAGCAGAAGCAGGAGATAATGGCGAGGGACCTTCAAATGCTGGTGAAGATGACGAAGAAATCGAGGAGGACCTACAAGCCGAATCCTCTGCAATGGCAGCCGAGCGCACCCGCAAACGTAAACGCAACCAAGATGAGGCCATAGCGAAGATCAAGAAGGGCAAGGCGGCGAAGAAGGCATCAAAGAAGAAGAGCAAGAAGAAGGGCTCAGACGATGAATCCGACTTTGAAGATGTCATGGACATGTACAAGAAGGCGAAGCCACTCCCTGGCCAATTGGAGAACTGCGAAATTTGCGACAAGCGATTTACCGTCACACCCTACAGCAAAGCCGGTCCAGATGGTGGGCTCCTGTGTACACCGTGTGGAAAAGAGATGGTCAAAGATGCAAAGTCAGAGAAGAAATTGGCTAAGCCCGTCGTGCGAAAGGGTAGAAGGAAGATTGAGAGCAACCGCCTTGACGGTATGACACAGCGCGGACCCAAGACACTCCAACAATTGTGCATTGAAAAGCTCGCGAAACATTCGGAGGACATTGACGAGCTGGGCGAGATGCCAGAGGGTATCATGAACCGAATCAGCGAGATCTTTTCAAAGAAGCGGGCGATGAACTCCAACACGATGAAGCTGTTCCTCCAGTCAGACATGCAGTCAATCGCAATTCATGAGGCGGCATACCTAGAGACGGAGGACTACGACCAGATATTTGCTGTTTGCCCCAATGTCAAGCGTCTATCACTGCGCAACTGCTGCCAGTTCAAGGACAGCAACATTGACTACATGAACGAGAAGGCAAAGGCGCTGGAAGAGATACAACTGCTAGGAGCCAATCTTGTCTCCGACGACAAATGGATCGAACTCTTCATTGCTCGGGGCCAAGATCTCAAGTCGCTGAAAGTTGAGTGGTTAGACGCCGCGTTCGGCGACCACGTAGTTGAGGCACTCTCCACCTTCTGCCCCAACCTTGAACGCCTCAAGATTGAGCGCTGCAAGAAGATCGGCCCGGACAGCATCGACGCCATTGCACACCTGAAGCATCTGAAGCATCTCACACTCCGCTTCTACGACCCCATTACCCGCGAGAAGCTCGTCCATCTAGTCGATTCAGTTGGCGATAATCTCCGCACCCTGTGCCTAGAGCATTTCCTAGACAACACAACAGAGCCTACCGATGACGTTCTCGAAGCCATCCACAACAAGTGTCACTATCTCAGCAAGTTCCGCTTCACAGAGAATAACGAGTGCACCGACGCCGGCTACGTGAAGCTCTTCACTGACTGGACCAACCCACCGCTCCACTACATCGACGTCAACTCAACCCGCGATCTGGACAACACAAACCCCGACGGACCCGAAGACGAGCCAATCGGTCTCGGCTCCAACGGTTTCCGCGCCCTAATGGCCCATTCTGGCTCGCGCCTCGAATTCCTGGACATCTCCTCCTGCCGCCACATCTCCCACGCTACTTTCACAGAAATCTTCGACGGCAAGAGAGAATACCCTCATCTCCGCGAGATCAACCTCTCCTTCTGTCCCGTCGTCGACACTGAGATCGTAGCAGGCGTCTTCCGGTCGTGTCCTGCTATCAAGAAGGTCGTTACTTTCGGTTGTTTCCAGGTCGCTGACGTGGTGGTGCCGAGGGGTATTGTGTTAATCGGAGCGCCGAGGGCACAGGACCAGATTGAGCAGTTTGGTGAGGTGGTGTTGGATTATCAGAGGGAGAATGAGGAGAGTATGGGGCATATGCGTGCTATGGGGCGTATTGTTCCTGTTGTGGGTTAAATGATGTCGGGATTCTCGTAGAGATGTAGGGAATGGGTTCTTCAAAAATGGTGTATGGGCGCATGTATGGTATGGCGTACTGGAGTATTCACGTGTTCATGGCTAGTGGATGTTACAGCGGGTATAGGCGTTCTTTTTTCGTTGCTTGTGTGCGACATGATTTAGATACATATAGATGTCAGTCAGTACGCATAAGACTCTCTGCATTGAGTATGCGAATGCGGATGCTGGATGCTAATAGATACACAATACATGGTACTCCTCAAACGCGACCATTACCCTCGCGTGGACTCCTCGCTTGCCCAAATCGTCAAAATGGTAATAAGTGACAGCGTGGCTGCGCGTATTCTCAAGTCCACTCGATGAGCTGAGTGGGACAAACGTTGTCCTCTGCGCCCCCAGCGTAGATGTACTACGCCACTTTCTGTACCCCACTCATACCTTGCTCAACCAAATCATGAACCCAAATTGCACCACATAGCTATACACAAACAAAAACTGCGTCCTCCTCGACTTCTGGCCAGTCTTGATATCCTGAGGATATCCCACGGGAGCAGGAGCGCCAAAGGCGTCTTGTGGTTTATTGTCAGGCAACAGCACGTATTTCAGGCTCCTCAACAAGAAGAACGAGTTCGCGCTGAAGCAGTAAAGGAATATGACCCAGCCGACCCACGAGCTACTGAATCCGATCCAATTGGCCAAGTTGGTGATGAGCAGAGATACGATAACGTGGACGAACTTGTAGCCGCTGTATGCGACGAGGTCGAGGAGTTGCGAGGAGCTGCTGATGGCGAGGAGGAAGGTGCCGGTTCGGATGATGAGGATCTCGAGTAAGGTGACGGCGATGGCTACGGTAGCGGTCTTGCCCAGGAGTTCAGGGTTGAAGGCGCCGCGTAGACCTGCGAATAGTGTTGACAGCAGGATGTAGGTCACCAGGGCCATGGTGGGTATGTACATGTCTGGTGAGTTTACATCTTCGCGGGGAGGTTGGTATAGTAGTGCGGCGGAGGCTGATGGATCGGCCGTGTGTTGCCGTTGGCGCGACCAGGGACGGTGCCACCACGGGAAGAGGATGATGCGTAGTTTGTTGAGGACGTAGGAATTTGTGACGTTGAAGTAGTGCTTCAGTGCGGATACTGAGACAAGGCGTCCTAGCTGGAATGTTGTTAGCAGGCTGGTCATGAATGGGAGGCCTGCGCTATGCCGTGCGGACATACGTTCTGTTCCATATAGTGCTGCCCAGCGTCCACGGCGCTCTTTCCCATCTGAAACCCTAACTGAGCAGTCGGGTCGTTGATGAAGCCTCCGAACGACGGGTGCACGCCATATCCGCCTTGCTGAGGCGGCATACCTCCTGCCTGTGACCCGTAGCCATATCCGCTCTGGGGTTGTGAAGGGGGTTGCGGGGGAGGTGGTGACCGTAGCTGGGGGACTGTGGAAACGTGTTGTGGGACGGGGTGGTGTACTTGATGGAGTCAGTACACGGCATCTACAGGAGGCATGATGGGACGCGTCCTAATACGTACAAGGTGGTGAATGCGCCGGTGGTGGGTTGCCGTAGTTGGGACGCTGCATGGCTGCGCGTCGGGGTGCTGGTCGGTGTAGCGAGTGAGGTGTCTAAGAGAATGAAAAAGACGAAGAAGCCCGAGTTTTGTGATGCGCAATTGGACACGTCGCCGTCAATGTTGGTTGAATTTCTGCCTTGAGCTGCGGTGTCGTTGGCACCTCCGAATTCCGACCATCTGGCAAGAGCGTGCACGGCCCGTCGTCATATCCCACATGTGCCCGCCGCACCACCACGTCTCTCTTCCGCAACCTTCCCGCCGCCTTTCACCCTCGCCATGTTGGATACCTTCGAGATATTGACTACCTCCGGCGTAGTCTTGTGGTCGCGCACATATGTCCCGGTCGGTGCAAACGTCATCAACAGTTTAATCCGGGATGTCTTCATCGAGGAGCGCGTGCAACCTCACGCCGAAGATGCCGGCGCCAAACCTACATACAAGAAGGAGGGATATACTCTGAAGTGGACGGCGGCGAAGGATCTTGGCCTCATCTTTGTGGTATGAACGCAGTCCTCGTTCCGTCAATGGGTCGAGATAGGACCACGGCGCAATGCGACGTAGATATGCGCAAGAGCTGACCGTGCCATAGGCCGTATATCAAAGTCTAGTACACCTGACATGGGTCGACAAGCTCCTCGATAACGTGCGCGCACTCTTCGTCGGCCTCTATGGCGAGCAGCTGAAGACGGAGCACAGCAGTGTGGTCAACTGCGACAAATTCGGCGCCTACTTCGACCGACAGATGCATGACTTGGAAGGTGCCAGCGACTCTGGCGCACCAAGCATTAAGCTCACGACTCCCGAATCGAGTACCGATAACGACAGCGCCGACGAAAGCGTGCCCAAGCCAACGGCATTACAGAAACCACAGCAGTCCTTGTACGATACGAGCGCCGATTCAACACCAGTGCCCACGCCAGACACCTCGAGACCTACTACGCCGGCGCAAAGTCAGCTTTTGACTGGAAAGGCAAGACCGTTTGGAGGGAAGATGTCACGGCGAGACAAGAAGAAGGCGTCGGCATTCAGCTCAGCACCAGTGTCATCGGGTGACGAAGCATCAGCCAAGAAGAAGGGCAGGGGCTCAGCCAAGAAGGGCAGAGTGTGGGGCGAATTCGGGGCCGAAGAACAGGACGACTCCGTGCTCGACTACTCGCAATCAGACATCCAGGGCGACGCCTCTGGGAACGAGGCGCTTGAGGAGATCCGGCCAGAGACATGGGGCCACAAGACAAAGAAGGGCGAGTTCGTGCTCAAAGATCTCGACGAAGAGATGGACGAGATAATCGCAGCACAAAACGCGAAGAAGGACAAGGAGACACCCGCTGCTTCTGGCGGGCTAGTCGGGTCCAGTCTGGGTGCCATTGGCGGCCTGTTCAGGAACGTGGTCGGCGGCAAGACACTCACCAAAGAGGATTTGGCAAAACCACTTAAGGGAATGGAACAGCACCTCCTTCGCAAGAATGTGGCTCTCGAAGCTGCGGTGCGGCTATGTGAGAGCGTCGAGCGCGATCTCGTGGGCATGAAGACTCCCAGCTTTACCAGTCAGTTGACACGCCTATTCCTTACCACACCCAGCTACTAACTATCGTAATAGCAATCGAGACGACGCTCAAGTCCTCCATGGAAAAGGCTCTCACCAAGATGCTTACCCCTACGTCCTCCCTAGACCTCCTCCGCGAAATCCAACACACCAACGCCACAACATCTCGACCCTACGTGATCTCCATTGTCGGTGTGAACGGCGTCGGAAAATCGACAAACCTATCCAAGATCGCCTTTTTCCTGTTGCAAAACCACCACCGCGTGCTCATCGCAGCAGCGGATACCTTCCGTTCTGGGGCTGTGGAGCAACTCCGCGTACACGTAGATAGATTGAAGGAGCTATCGCAAAGAGAAGGAGGTCAGGTCGATTTGTTCGAAAAGGGCTATGGCAAAGATGCTGCCAACATTGCAGCGGATGCCGTTACCTTTGCCTCGAAGAACAGCTTCAACGTAGTGCTCATCGACACCGCTGGTCGCCGACACAACGACCAACGTCTCATGTCTTCCCTTGAGAAATTCGGCAAGCTAGCCAACCCAGACAAGATTCTCATGGTGGGTGAAGCGCTTGTCGGCACAGACTCTGTTGCACAGGCACGCAACTTCAACGCTTCTTTTGGCGTAGGGAGAAACCTCGACGGATTTATCATTTCAAAATGCGATACCGTCGGCGACATGGTGGGTACACTGGTGTCCATGGTGCACGCGACAGGCATTCCAGTGGTATTTTTGGGTACCGGGCAACATTACAGTGATCTAAGGACACTTAATGTTAGTGCCATTACGAGACTGCTCATGAGCTAAGTTTTCTACGGATTACCGGAGCCCTGTATTATAGTCTATCAATTTTAGTAATGATGAATCTCTGACCAGAGTAGGGAATCGCAACATAAGAACCCACTGCCCCCAAGTTGAATGCCAATGCAAGCCCATGTCCAGTCAAGCTTCAAGCGTGACTAGTGACCCACAAACCCCATTGTGGCGCCTGGAGAAAACCTGATCTTCGTCCCGTTGAAGCTTAGATGTGGCTAAGTCACTGCGCCATAACCGTTTTGGCAGAATTTGGCTGTAAGGCCCGCCCGTACACATACACTCGCAAAAGATCCTCACACGATGTCAACGACGATGTTGTTGGCCAGCGCTGCACGGGAATTGCCGTTGAACGGCAAAAACGGCAGGCTAGGTGTAACGGAGCAATGCCCAGCAGCTCTTGTTGAATGCATGACCTTGTTTTGCAGAGATTGTGCGAGTTTCGCGTTGGGCAAATGACGACACAGACGCTCGCCCCCGCGTGCGCCTTCGACGTTCACGCCTCCCAAGCTTTACAGCATGCGCGCTATCGTCTTGGATCGACGTAACCGGTAGGCTAGACCATCCTCCAGCCTCTAACCAACCTGCGTTCCAGCCTCCGGCCTCGCGCGACTTGCCCCTGGTTCATCTTGTTTGGTAGAGCATGCGACTAGTCGGAACGCGTGTGCCGACCATGTACTATGACATTGAATGTTTATGGGGAAACGCCAGAGTCTGGGTGCTATGATGCAAGCGCCGAAATGGAAAGGGTGTAACCAGGGCCGATACATCAAAGGCAGCTCGACCTGCTTAAACCACACTGAAAACGACACCCTCGTTTCGTGGCCTCATTCACATCCTCGACGTCGCGCACCATGTCTTCACCCAGCGCGTCTTCGCGGTCGGGTAGCCACCGCAGCAGCTCTTCGTCAGTATCTGCTTTGTATTCAACGCTGGTACCATGTATAGTGGTCTCTGGAATCCTCGTGGGTGCTTTCTTGCTATTGCGAGCAAAACAGAGGCGGTTATACGCACCACGAACCTTCCACGATGCACTTTTCGAAGAGTACGTGCCATCTTCTATTCACCTCTGTATCTCCAATTGAGACTGACGTAGACCACAGTGAGAAGACTCCATCGGCGGGTTCGAGCAAGTTCGGCTGGATCAAGAAGTTCATGCACATCAGTGATGATTACGTCCTCAACCACCACTCCCTCGATGCCTACCTCTACATGCGCTTTCTCAAGGTGCTCACACTCATGGCCTTTGTCGGTGCCATCATCACTTGGCCAGTGCTATTCCCTGTCAATGCGACTGGTGGAGGTGGTGAATCCGGCCTGGATATCATCAGCTTCTCCAATGTCGAAAACGACGTTCGCTACTTTGCCCATGCGCTCATGGCCTGGGTCTTCTTCGGCTGGGTCTTGTTCCTGATCGGAAGGGAGATGTTGTACCTTGTCAAGGTCCGAAAGGCCTACCTGTTGTCCACCTGGAATGCCAGTCGCATCTCGCAACGAACAGTTCTCTTCACCGACGTACCGGAGAAGGATCTATCGCTCGAGAGCTTACACACCGCGTTCCCACAAGTCGCGCAGATCTGGTTGGTACCTGACGTGAAGGACCTAGAAGATGACGTTGAAGAACTTGAAGAGAATGTACCCAAGCTGGAGGCCAGCGAGATCAAGTTCATGTCAGCTGTCACCAAGCAGCAGCAGAAGAAGGGTAGCGAGAAGAACGCAACCTACGACAAGGCATTGCGACCGACGCACAAGCTGAAGCCCCTCATTGGACACAAGGTCGACTCCATTGGCTACTACCGCAACCAGATCAAGGAGCTTCTGCCCAAGATTCAATCGGCTCAACAGTCCCATCTCGCTGGCCGGGAGAAGCTTGCTAGTGCCGTCTTCATCGAATTCGATACCATGGCCGCCGCCGAAGCCGCTTTCAACGAACATCAACATCGCAGACCAGCAAGCTTTGAATCCCGCCAGATGGGTGTCTTACCTGATGAGATCGTCTGGAAGAACCTCGGCATGGGCTCCAAGAACAGAAAACTCCGTCATATACTTGCGAATATCTTCATTGCGCTTCTGATAATGTTCTGGGCCATTCCTGTTGCGATTGTTGGTATCATCAGCAACGTCAACTATCTCACAGAGAACGTGCCGTTCTTGGCATGGATTGACTCCATTCCTGGACCCATTCTTGGTGTAGTCACTGGACTTTTGCCTACTATTCTTCTCGCTGTACTGATGGCATTGGTGCCTATTATCTGCCGCTGTAAGTTGCCCCTTAGTTCCCTACTCGTAATGCATACTGACAAATCTTAGTCGTCGCCAAACTTGCGGGAGCTGTAACTCTGTCCGAAGTCGAGCAGCAGACGCAAACCTGGTACTTTGCATTCCAAGTCATCCAAGTCTTCCTGATCACGACCTTCACCTCCAGCGCCACCGCCGTCGCCAGTCAAATCGTCAGCAATCCGGCCTCGGCTGTACCACTGCTGTCGAAGAATCTTCCCAAGGCTTCCAACTTCTACATTTCATACTTCATTCTGTACGGACTTGCAAACGCCGCAAGGTATCTCTTCAACTTGATGGGACTGGTAGGCGTGTTCATCCTGAGCAAGTTCGCAAAGACCCCGAGAAAGAAGTACATGCGCTACGTGTCTTTCACGGAGCCATCTTGGGGAGCGGAGTACCCGAAGTGGACTAACTTGGGCGTCATCGCGATCTCATACGCCTGTATCGCACCACTCGTTTTGGGCTTCGCGACACTCGGTATCGGTTTCATCTACCTCGCCTACCGTTACAACATGATCTACGTCCACGATACCCACGTTGACACCAAGGGTGGCTTCTATGCTCGCGCGCTCGAGCAGCTCATGGTGGGTGTGTACCTTGGAGAGCTCTGTCTCTTGGGTCTCTTCGGTATCGGTATCGGCAACAGTGTCACATCTGCTGGTCCTACGGTGCTCCAGATAGTGCTGATCGTAGCTACCATCATCTTTCACGTCATGATGAAGCGCAAGATCAAGCAGATGAACTTGCTCGATGACTCGAACCATCCTCAACAGCAAAACGACGCTGAAAGACATTCGGAAGGCAATGGCATGCACCCTGGATACAACAACGTGAAACGTTCGCGCGAAGACAGCAGGCGATCTGAGCAAGCTCTTGTTTCTGGCTACAGAGAGGAAAGCCGCCAGTACGCCGGTGAGCAAGGCGCTGGCATGGCTCCACCGTCCAACGCCCCGCCACAGCGATCCCTACTCAAGAAGATGTTCTCCCCGCATACACTTTCCGTCAGCGAGATCTCTGCTTCTCTGATTACACGCTTCCGCCATCCTGTACCAGCCTATACCCAGCAAGACGTTCTCGAAGCCTACCTACACCCCGCTTTGGCGCAACGCGAAGAAGTGATCTGGCTCGCGAGAGACCAAGCTGGCGTCAGCAAAAACGAGGTTGCGGAGCTGACAGAAAGCCTTGGAAGCTATGGTGTCGAGGTCACAGACGAGGGCGCAATAATGAATGAGAAGGGCAAGGTCGAATGGGATGACAACAGCGTGAGGCAGGCGCCTCTTTGGGATCACAAGGTTGTTTATTAGGGGTTTCCGTTTGCTGTAATGAAGGAAAGGACGACGATGTTTACGCGACACCAATAATTTGTATTATACCCTTAGCTGACACGATAATATATTCAAATCACACATTCCACGTCCTCGCACCTACCGCAGTCGATCATCCAGCCGCTTTCGACCCACACCGCCATTGTTACTCGTGGAAAGTCGCCCCGGGCTCGAGCGCCAAAGCCAGAACTGGCCTCAGGTACGATGACACCAAATGTGGGGGAATACGGACTACACTCGATCAGGTGCGGTGCCTGAGAGGCTTGCTGGACAAAAAAGGAACCAAGTCCACTACTTCGATGCCGGACGCTCTCCGGTCACCGCCTAGTGGGCGCCTAGTGCAACGCAACGAACAATAAACAAAAGCTATGACGTCTTTGAACCAGAGACCTAGAACTTGGGGTTGCCAACTTTCAAGTACCTAGTAGCTGGTATATGAAGGTGTCGTGTTGAAGCTGGGGTAATTGAATCATTCTTGCTACACAGCTTTGTACTGTTCTTGACCTCTAAACTACTTAACCTTTCTTTCGAATCTACGAATTGAACATCATGCCTCGCAACGGAGACGGATCTAGCGACAATGGCCCAATTGAGGGTCAAGAGCTTCTTCACGGAGCTTCTGGTGATGTACGTCTTCCAATGGACCGAAGACTGAACAGCGACTAACACGTGACCAACAGAAAACACTCCAGCACACCAAGCACGTAGCCCCCATGCCCGAAGTCGAAGCAGGAGACGGTAAGACAAAAAACCCAAAATTGCCCAAACCCGTCCATCTCGCATAGCTAACCCCACCCCAGCCCTACCCGGAATGGGCGCCGGCGGCGCCGCAGCCCCCATCGCCGACAACGCGGAAGAATTCGGCGTCAACGAACCCAAAAAGGACCCTCTCGACGAAGAAGCCGACGACTCCACGTCAGACCCGCTCCCACCCAAGAAAGACACATCCTCCTCGAAGAAGCGCACAGAACCGCACCACGGGGCCACCTCGCCCGAGCGCTCGCAGCTGGACCAAAAGTTCACAAAGCTAGATAAAGACGAGGTCGATATTTCGACGTCGTCGAGCAAGGGGCAGGAGATGGATGCAAGGGCGCAGCGTGTGGCTGATGCTGTGGGGAAGAGTAAGGGCGCGGGGGATGAGGTTGTGAGGAAGAATGGGGGGCATGCTGATGTGGAGGAATTGCATGGTGCGACGAGTTTGGAGAGTGGGGATAGCAGTAAGGATGGGAAGAGCGGTGAGGCGAAGAAGGGTGGGCAGGATGAGAAGAGTGGAAGTGGAAGTGGGAAGGGGGTTAAAGGGGATGCGGAGGGTGTGGAAGCGCATTTGGGGGATAAGGTGCAGAGGGAGCAGGCTAAGAAGTTTGGTGTTAACCTTGATAATTAGTTTGGAAGACTGAGGAGATTCGAGTTGAGATAAACCATATTACGTTATATGTAGTCTTTGGATGTGGTCGTGATGTATCGTTGTACTGTGGAGACAATGTCGGACAGTTTCAGCACCCAACCATTTCTAGAGTCTGTCTCACCCACTTAGAGCACAAAGCTCACTACACCCATCGTGACGAGTGTTGACCAGACGGCCCACGCATTTCCTCTTACGCTCGCAGCAGCACCTTCGAACTCGGGCAGCGTGTTGTTACTATGCCCACCAGGCACAGTACCATTGCCGCCGCTTTCCGCGCGACACTTTGCAATGACCTCCGGGAACAGCGCAGTAGTGTTCGCATCGACAACAAGATATTGGCAAATCTCTGCCGAGCCATCCAGAACCGCGTCGACGTACTCCTCGCTGCAAGAGCTGAGATCCCAGGTGTAGCAGTATGTCAGTCTTTCGCTAGTGAAAGCGTCGAATTGCACATCAGGGTCGGGGCGACCGGTGCTCATGTATGTGCTGCTCTCATCCGTTCCAGATGTTGATTCGGTACCAGTAGCAATGTCGAGATTGAACAGCGCGCGCGTGAAGATCTTGAACGCGGTTTCGGGTTGGTATGCTGGAATCGCGTGACCGGCTTGGTACGTGCGGATGTAGCTCAAGTTACCGTATTGTCGAACGAGGCCACCGACGTAGGAGTCGTTGGTCTGGATCTCGGCGTATTGTGCGGAGGCATAGCCAGCTGAACCAGTCCAGTTGATTGCCTTGGCAACGGCGTCACCGCCAGCCCAGGGGCAGGCAAAGTCTAAATCTCCGTAAACGAGCGAGACTTTGATGCCGTTGTCGAGCAGAAAACCAAGGTCGTCGAGCCAGTTGTCACGTGGGTAGTCACCAATGTCGCGGTATGCGGAAGAGGCTTGGGGCGAGCTGCCGGTCCAGTTGAGCGGTACGCCGAGTTCAGCTTGCACCCATTCGCGGTTCAAGTAGCCTTCATGGAATGGCGGTGGGAATGGAGGTGGCGACGGGGTCGAGATGTCGTAGTAGTCTCGGCCTGCATATTGGTTGTACGGGCTGACGATTTCCGCGCGACAGAACGATTCTGCATCTTCGCAGATTTCGTTCACACCGGCATCAATACCCAGGTTCTCGGGGTCGTCTTGTCTAGCGGCATCGCGGCAGTTCTGGATGCGCTCGAGACATTCAGGCACTGCTTCAACCATGGCGTTGTATGTCGTCTCATTGACGGCTTCGATACCGTATCCGTTTTGACGGAATGCTTGCTGGGGGTAGTAAGGGTACTGCACGTAACGATCAACGCATCCTGAGATGAGGAGCAAGGTGTCGAGATGCATGATGTAACCTTCTTCGCCCAGGGTACCATTCTCAATGCGCTGGTTCTGCTCTTCCCAGAAGGACATCATGGCGGGGCCGTAGCGTCCGCCATACGACTGAGCTGCAAGACTGATGCGGGTGTCGTTCGGAAGGTAGTGAGGAAATTCTTGGAACCAAGCCTGTGCAAACTCCCAGGCTGCTACGGCTCCGTTAACACTGCCAAAAGCGGTGTTGTTTGGCTCGCGACTGGGGAAAGTTCCGGTGAGCAAAGTGGTGTTCTGCTCAGGCACGGTAGAGGTCTCGTTGAGAAGCGTGACCTCGCCGGTAACAAGGTTCCGAGTGATGTTTTGCAGGGTATCATAGGAGCTGCGAGCTGGAGTCAACAAGAAAGTCCCTCAACCAGAGAACATGTGAAGTGCTTACAAGCCGACTTGTACCGGTTGGTCGAGATAGAGCATGTTCGAGGCTCTGTTCCAACTCCATTCCGCTGGTCGTGTAGAGTTGGAATCCGGGTTCGCATAACATGGTCCATTCTCTTCGAGAATACCATACATGGATGAAGAACCCGGTCCTCCATTCAGCCAGATGGTGAGCGGCGCATTCGTCGGATCCTCACGAGCTTCAAAGAACCAAAAGAACTAGTTTGCATTGGTAAGTGAGAGCTATGTAAGCTTTGGGCCTGCACTCACGGTGTTGATCGGGTAATCCTGTCCTTGACCCAAGTCCGCGGTTCCCGGAGGCAGATAGACGTGGCCGGAGTAGGACTTAACACCGGGCGTGGTTTCGCAAAGCGAGTTCTAACATGTACATATTAGATAAGAAGTATTGCTAATTGTTAAATCGCACGAACCTCTTTGAAGGTGATTTTCACACCATCTCCAAAGCGCGATTCTAAAACTTTGAGACCAACGGGCTCCGCTGGAAACTGCGCCAAGCCGGGCGCGGCGGAAACCAGCAACGCGACGGCTGCGGAACGAAGGGTAGGAAGCATTGCGAGGCTGTCAATCTTGAAGCTCTAGAAATCCGAAGCCCATCAAGGTTTATGTATGCGCCCGACGGTACCATCGATGCCAATGGCTTCCAAGCTTGTGTTCATCCTCGCAAGCCGTGTTATCGGCTTTGCAATCAGGCATTGTTGTGCTATACAGTCTTGGCGATGGCTTGGGTACATTCAAAGTGGGAGCGTTGAACTTTGGTTGACTACATCAGGAAGGTGGAAGAGGTGGTTGCCAAGTACCAAGTCTCATCGTGAGCGGGGCGTTGTTGTTGCGCGCGGTAGTGCGAGCCGAGCCTCGTCATCGTGCTGTAGCGACGGAATACCGCAACAACCCGTCATTGTTCAATTCGACTACGAGCCGTAAACAATAACTCCGGTCCTCAACACTGTAGTGTATTTTCCGGCATTTTCCGCGTGAGAACCGTCGCGTTTCATCACCCGAAGTATGGCTTCCCGTGTTTAATCGTTCATCGGGCCGTCGGAGCTAAGAAAGTTACTTCAGAGCCTGCTTATCCATGTGCTCAATGTGAGATTGAAGCACGGCTGAGCCTATGTCTGAGTAAATAGTCTTCAGCTTTGATCGGAGATGAAAGGCGCCAAAACACTTCTTGTGCAGAGTCAGGCCGCCATTGTTTTTGAAGGTCTCCGCCGTAACGTTTGCAGGATCCCAACTAGACCGCCGGATATGCGCTGCCATACCTGTATAGTCATGTGATTCGAAAGTCAAAATCTGAGCAGAGTGCGCGAGATCGTAAAGCTTCTGGATGCTGAAGGGAGTTTCGGAAGCTCTCCGTCGTGCTGGGTAGAGATCATTCTCCAAGAGGAAAGAGATGAAGGAACCCAGAACCATGGCTCGACACTTGGGCTCCCATGATTCATCGACCTGACAGACATACACGTGTATGATATCGTCTAGAATATCGTAAAGGACATCCAGCATAGCCGAAAGTGTAGCTTCTCTGATTTGCAACATGCGCTCTTGAAAGTTGGTTAGCATATCTGCACGATTGTTTCGATTGAGATTGAGATTTTCATACCCAGAAGCCCTGGAGGCATATACTTTGGAAGCTTTTGGCCGTCGTCCATGATAGCGTTCCCGTCGTCATCTAGCCCGATCTTCTTCACTGTAAACCGGGTAAGACGTTGAAAGCTGTCCTTGTAGCCAAAAGTCCAAGCAACGTAGAACCAGCCGGGATCGCATCGTTCTCCGGAGTCCGTATCGGGATAGTGACACTGCGCCCATCCGTAGAGATCCAGAAACGGCCGAACAAGCTTGACAATGTCGTATCTGGCGCACACGACAGCGAGCTCGAGTAGGGCATCGATTGTAAGACCGTCTTTCCGTGGTATCTCATGGAAGCGTAGATGCGCGATTCGAAGTGCAATGTACAACGCATCTACTTCGTCATCCCGGAGCGGCACCTCAATGGCACCGTTTTCTTTCCGGTGTCGCTCGAACATCGCCTTCCATACCGGGCTCGCCAAGGTCATAGCTGTCGAAGATACCTGGACCGGCTGAAGACCAGCTGAATCGGTGCCGACCAATAGGGTGGCGTCGCCGCTATCGTCGAGAACAATAGTCGGCTGCAACTCCGACATATCGACATGTCTGTCTTCCACCGATGCAGCTACATCTTCCGGCGTGTCGACCGTGCACTGCACTGCAGGTGTTGTTCTCTCAGGGGTAGGACGCGCTCGGGAAAGGAAGCTAGACCACATGATCCAGCCTCGCGCTTGCTGAGACGAATAATGATGTCCTGTGGTGGCCAAGGTGACGTCGCCAATTGTGTAATTCCGGTTGGAGTGTGAGTGTGTGGCAAGCTGGCTACGCGTGCAATGATGTGCACGCGTCCCGAGGTCGGTGCACAGTAGACGCGTCGGTGATCGCGAGGCTAAAGGGCGCTAGTGAGAAGAGGTTTCAGATGTTCGTTTTTTCAGCGCAAACAAAGACAGAACAGCCCTTCGACAGCTACCCCAGCAAGCTTCCAATTTTACTTTCGCGCGCTGCCGCCAGCCGCCACACTTCGATTGAGGCGATGAGGGTCAATGCCAACCTTGGAGAGGTCAGCCTCGCCGAGTCGTAGCCGACGCCTCATGCTTCCACAACAGGGCTCGCCCCGTACGATCCCAGATGGACGGATTGTACACCCTGTGTGTTCGTGCCTCCAGCCTCGCCGACATGTGACGACAGTGTTACCACACAGCGCCTCATAGCTTCCAATCATGGGGAACCCGCGCAATCATGCCGAACGTCGGCTCTGGCACGATCATTCGCGGCGCGACCCAATCTCCGGAGTAGTATATCCACAATAATTATACTTCGATGAACGTTCGACCCTTCGGTCATCTGGCAGTGTTGCGGTTTGAGCAGAGCTCTATAGGCGGCGATCTCCGTGGCCATTGAGCTTTGATACAACAGCCGAGCGGGTGCAGCACGTTGCAGCATGCATGTCTGCGTGCTTGCTTCCCGTACCGCGCAGCTACACGTAACACAACGACAGATTCTGGCGAGGTGCAAAGTGTTCATTATGGATCAAGTCACCACGACCTTCAGTAACTAATCAGCGGATGAGCACACCAGGGTCTCGATCCCTATCATATCCTACCCGTGCCCCGGGTCGCCCAGAGCGAACGACATGTGACCAAGCCACTGACTCCATATGAAGCTGGTCGTGCGCCAGATGTGGCCTGTCTCGGCTGTAAGAATCGATGTGCATCACCCTTTCGCTCGAAAGATTAACACTAGATGACTCGATCTGGGACCACTGCACGCGTAATGCGCATTCGCCGATGTACGCTGCGGTCAAATCCGCTGCCATGTCGAACGACCGTCTATGCGTATGAAAGCTCAACTCAGTGTTGCACGCATTTTTCGCGCATACCACCATTGCAAGGGCAGGCAGGCCTCATACGTCTAGTGTTCTGTTGGCACCACACGGCTACTTACGGTTATGGTTGCAGTCTGAGAGAGATTCGTCATCGCGTTGGCAGAATCCAGACGAGCAGGACCACATGTCATCTGACACCTACGCCTCAGGCCCAAGGCATCCAAACACCGCATTTACCCGTTGTATCGGATCAGAAAACCTCATACCGGCCAAATATCACCCTCCATAGATGAAGATGGATCGCGGAAGATACAGGTCGTTTTCTAAACTGCCGATCCAGATTGCGTCACAACTGCATATCCGATAGAGTTCCACTCTGGGTCGATTCAATGCAAGTACGCGGTTACACAGTGTTTGCAAAGACTAAAGCAGGTGTTGAAGTGACTGCGTCTCGAACACGATGCAAAGCATGTTGCATCAAGAGGCGGATGAACCGGAACGAGTCAGCGTCTTGGGCTTCATCGGGGTCATTAGCAAGGACCTCATGGCCGTGCACGATGATCTCCTCATGTTTAGAATGCTCGAAGCGAAACTTTATCACAGCATCATCGAATCACGACAGGTTTCAAGCGTTCGAGGTCCAAAATACACGTAACGTCTATTCAACGCTGCTGTGATTTCTTCACAGCTGACGAATGAGATGAAGACCATGGCTTCCCGACGAGTGGTAGACAAGATCCGGTTCAGCTACATAAATCTACGGGCTAACCGGTGGCTTAGCTTCCGCTTTGGCCTGTCCGGCTTGTCGGGTCCCCTACCTCATGGTGATCATAGCTGCAGGTTAGCGCAGCATCATCACTGTTGATACGATGGACACGAGTGGTACCCAATCGGCACAGGCACATGGCATGTTACCATGCCGGTAGCCTAGCGAGTATGATCAGCGCATCACACCGCCCAGTAACAGTTGAACCGACACATCGGACACATTCTACGCCACAAAAAGCTTCCATGACTGAGCCCGTAGCGTCCGTGTGGTAAAGCATGCACTCGATTGCATTGGTCGCAACTCATGTCACCGGAGATGGCGACAGGCCGCTTTCGTCCAGTACCGTCCCCATTACCTGTCAATGCAACTCGCAGAACCTGCAAGCATCAACTAGTCGATGTCTTTCCATCATGTTCAACGACCAGCAAGAACGTCAATCTCAACGTCATGGGAGCACATACCGGGAGCGCCCTATCACAGCAGCCGACATGCAAGGACGTTGAGCTAACCGCAAACCAGTGAGCGTGGGAGCCCTGACTACTAGACGTTCGGTACCAGTCTATGGCTTCAGCTTCTGAATCCACTTTCAAACCCCCACCGATTGTCGAGTGCGTCTCTAGATCTCATTGTCTCGGCATCGGCAAGAAAATCTACGTCCCAAATCGGGTTTGTGCCGACTGTCTTCAACGACACGATCCACAACAGCTGCGAGTTTGGGCTGACGCCAACACTACTGCCTTGCAACTCATCAACGACGAAACTGCGCGCAAGCACATTCTAAAACGCAACATCGAAGCTCGTGGTCGCTATCTTTGCGTCTTTGAAGATCCTGATTTTCAGCACTGCAGGTGGCGACTACATGACCTGAACCTCCGCGGCACTCGCCTGGACTGCCCTTCTGTCCGCAGAAAAGGTATTGCGTGTACCAGGTGTTGGAGAAGGCGTCTGCGGAAGATCCGAATCGCACAGTTCTTCACGCCGACAGGCCTATGCCATGAAGAAGCAGACAAGCTGGTGACAAGGTCGGCAGGTTCGGAGGAGGGCAGTGAGGAGTCGGACGATGACGTGGAAGGCTACAACACAATAACGAGTTGAAGCCATACCAGAAACTGACCTGGTAAGTCGCTCTGCTAGGTTGTCGGCCACGCTAACAGATAAGGTGTACCACTGTACGACCTGCTTGTCATGCTAGCACCGCCGCCGAAGCCACACTGTGCATTCGGTACCGCTTGTGGCTCACGTCCAGGAGGACAAGAACAAGGAACAGACATATGTTCATGGTGCAAGAACATGAGCTTCGACGCACTGTACAAGCAAGCCGAAGCACATCCAGACAAGCCGTTGCTGAGGTACCGCATCGATGTCTACAGGCACCAGCTTGAGCGCGACAGCTCCGAACGCATCAGGAAAGGCTGGACATATCTCTGCGCCTGCAAAGACCCAGAGTTCCGCTTCTCAGCATGGCGCAACGATTTCAACCCCCAAGATTCCCGCCTCTGCGGCACAGTTCGGCATCGCGGACAGCTGTGTGCACGATGCTACCGCAAAGCACGAGAGCAAGCCTGCCATTGGCTTTCGGAATTCGATGGCGACCGAGTGGGGTTTCCGTGTGTCTTCGAGGACCCACGACTAAGACGGCCCGTCGACAGCAACTGGAAGATTGGACCGCGGAATCAGCAGGGTGAGGCGGACCCAAGCTGGGAAAAGGATCCAAGGAGGGATGGACGCTGCGACAGGACGAGGTTTAGGAATCAGCTTTGCCAGAAGTGCTTCAATCGTATGTGCGAGATTCGAGGGTTTGGCCGGTACTTCGATACGGAGTGGGGTATACTGCGGCGTAACTATGGGGTGTGATCGCAGCGCTATCGACGAACCGATCTGAGTCAACCATCTTATCGGGTACCCTCAATACGTTTTCCGTACACCTCAGATGAGGTTCGATCACAGCCCTGGGTCGGCACACGAGCTTATCACCCACGAACGACAATGAGTTCTCCGAACATGCGACAGTACCACACCTACGGCTACTGCTTCTGGTACTCCCTTTAGGCACGGAATCAGAGGCAGACTGCCCCTTACAGCGTTATCGTATTCACAGTGTGGTCGATAAGACGACACGACTAGTGCGTATAGCACATTCCTCCGCATCGGAAAGCCAGACAGCAACACCGACACACAAGAAACGGCACATTGCAAGGGAGCCGCAAGCTGTTTCATTTACTGGATGCTACAATCGCTTCTCAAAACAAGCACATCGAGACAAAGAAGTTCAATTCTCCGCGGGATATGCCGACACAAAGATGGACCCCAAAAGGCACATTGTCTCCGCTGGTAGCAGCGCTCAGATGCAGGCGCATAGGAGTAAAAGTCGCGGCTGAGTCGAGCTTTGCGGTAGCATACCTTACACCCCTTCTGAACGGCCTTTTCCTCGGAGTTGCGGTAACTACCATTGTCGCAAGAGGGAACTAGAAATTGGTCGACTATCGGTGTGCATACATCTGGCCTGGAGGCTTGCAGGCCAACTCTAGTGCTAATCGATATGGACAAAGTGCGTCGGAATGTAGGGAAAGGGACGCCTGTATGGTCGTGGCTGTGTATATCTTGACAGTGCTAGTCTTTTGCTGTCTTTTATTCGAGAGTGTATTGGTATAGGAATTGGTCGGATTGCTGGGATTCACTCGCGTACGGATGTGTGAATCCAACCCGAACCGCGGTACCCGTGGACCTTCTAAGCAGCTACCATCTTCGCTAGGTAAAATAATACGTATTTCCCCACACATCGCTTTATCTCGTCTTCCCAACAGGACTTGCTTGCAAGTATTCGCCGATACAACATCGCACAATATGCCCACAACCTTGACTCGCGCAGAAAAGTCCTGCATCTGTACTCTCTTCGCTCTATTCCTGAATACGAACCTTAATAACGGAGAACTTGATGACATAGCGCGGGGATTGACAGTGCTTCCTCTCGAGCTTGCCGAGATCGAGATGATGTTTTGGGATGACCTATTCCCGACGCTGATTTGGAACCTACTCAGTATCCACGGACAACAGCATGCATTTGAAGAAGACATAGTCTGTGAGAGGATCGAAGTCGCACGAGCTGGGCCTCCTAAATTATATATTAGCACATTTACAAAGAAGCTCCTCTTCGGATGGATGGTGTGGCTCGACTGGATGCGTGTCAAACGCAGGTTAGTCGATACTCAACACCTGTCTTGATGCTGACTGACCTCTTGAACAGGTATCTCGCGGAGAGAAAAAAGCAGCGTAGGCGGGAAATAGAGAGGCAGTTTGACGCGACAAAGGTTGGTAGACTCGTTAGGCGAGTTGACTTTCTCCGAACGGTCTTCTCGAGCGGTCCTGATGGGACTACATGCTCAGCGGGTCCTATGAGCAGTCGTTATTCTGGATTTGGATCTTCCGCAATGACGTTGTGTTTGAGTATTCTTAGAGCGGGTGGATGGGCTGTTTGGTGGGCTGCAAGAGGACCTTTGGTGTCGGCTTGTCGGCTACCCAGAGCGCATGGCTCAGTCTTTTAGCTTTCTGACCAATCGACTGAATAAATATATATTCATGTTCGTAGAACAGTCATTCGTTCCCTGCGAATAACTACGACGGCGCGTCTTGCGGGCTGTGCTCGTTGATCGGATTACACCAACAGTCAGACAGTGCCATCATAGTCATGACTTTAGTCATTGAGACTCACTGTGCTGACTGTAGGGAGATTCTTATGACTCCACAAAGCTTTATAAAGAGCGCATTGCACAGATCCGATACTATTCTTCACAGCTTCGAGAACCCTACTGCACAGCATCAGACAATCGACCCAAAGCGACCAGACAAACGAGCTACCATCGATCTTTCAACACAACATTGCAATGGCCCATCAAATGCGGGAAGTATGCAGTCTCAAGCCAGACGCCTGTCTGAATCCGAAGGAGTTCGAGCCTGGCACTACACTTTGCGGATACTGCGAAAAGATGGACCCGAGCGTACTCAAGCTCAATCTGGATCTCAGCCGTCGGGTTGACAAATCCAGCGAAGACCTAATTGCGCAAATGGCTCCAAAGGCGGAAGCAGCCAGGCAAGATGCTATGAAAGAATCCAAACTTGTCTGCGCCATGAGAAATCCTAGGTTTTATGGGCAAGAATGGCGAACAAAGTTCCGACCTGAGACTGGGGAGCCATGCGTATTACTCGATGCTCCTGGAGCCGATGAAGGTCGTCTATGTGCAACTTGCATGGCCCACGAAATTCCAAAAGATTCCAATTGGGCAAAAGATTATATCTTGCGGCCCAGCGACACGAAGGGCAAACATCCGTACGCCCGTATCAGGTTTGATTGCGTGTGGAATCGCCCAAAACCAGCTGGCTTTGAATACCCAGATGGAGACTTCCGAAAGTGGTGGCACCTTAAACTTGGGTTCCTGGATTGTATCGACAAGAACACCTACACCAAGTTACCAAATGCCATGTGCGAATGGCACAGAGTTGCGCTCTTAACCTGGGACGCTAAGGACTATAACACTGGAAGGAAGTTCAATGAACACTTTTGGACAGATGGCAGACTCAAAGCCGACTATCCCGACGAGGAGTTGGCTCCTACGGTGCCTGGCGGAATCCCATTCGACCAATTGGAGGACTGCCATTTTGATGTTTTCGCGAAAACCGGGGAAGGCGTTCCCGGCTAATTGTGGTGGGTAGTGGAGGGAGAACGACAATTTAGCTTTTCGTTACGGATAGAACGATGGTTGTACCTTCCTTTAAAGTCGTTGTCCCTGGTGCTGTGTCTTTCACTGTAAAGAAAGTTCAAGCTTTCTGAGTTGACCATGTTCAAGCTTGCGCTACCGTATTTCGGAACGGTACTAATTATTTCATTTGCCTCTTAGTGCATGGCGATTTATTCGTGTGCGCCAGACGAGGAGGAGGTGTGGTAATGGAGCACGATGGTCTTGCGAAGGGGTCAAGGTGTTGGTGTTGGTGCGTGCCATCAGTGACTCCCGCAATGACTATCCGTGTCACCGTAACCAATGTGACTCAGTCTAGCTATTTAGCAACACCAAGAGTGCTTCAAGTCTTCTTTGAGTACTTCGCGGGAGACTATAGGCAGCAATTCAAACCGGCCATCTATCCTTCAATACATAATCCTGCCAAGAAGCCACGACGAGCGAACAAGTCCCTAACTATGGCTTCACCAACGCGAGAAGGGACGCAACCCGACGGAAAAGACAAGGAATTTTGCTGCACCTTCTGGGCGTACTATGAGAACTTTCCGGACGCTGGATGTGATCCCGATCCGGACCAAGTGGCAGACCAGCCTTGCCAGCATTGCATTAAACAGCATCCGTATCTCTGGGATGAAGCGAGAGAGATTCGTCATGAGCTAAGAAAGTCCTCAAGCGACCCCATCGACAACACAAGTCTCGACAAGCAGTTCAAAAAGCAAGAACCCGGGGTTTAATGATCTCTTCAAAGAGATCGACGCAATGAACGAGGACCCCTACACATGCGTTACCCGCCGGGAGCGATACGCGCGCACCAAGATGGCAGCACTGGTGGTCGAAAGCTGGAAACGTCGTAATGGTTTGACTTATCCCGAAAAGCCGGGCCTGATCTCCTGCAGGGGAACGGCAAAGGAAGACACCTTCTGTCATGACTGTTGGAGGTTTATGGAGCAATGCGGTTATGAGGATTACTTTAATGGGGACCGCACGGTGAATGAGGATAAACTTCTGAAGGACGCGGCTGTTTAGGACCGCTTTTGGCCATCTATGAAGGCGGTTCTGGATACAGTCATGGCCCAGGCGGCAGGTGTCAGGAAGCGAGATGTTTGCTGTATCTACAGACGTAGTGATTGTCCAGGGTTCCCATCAATGTAAAACGAGGTTTGGTAGTCTAATGTACAAAAGAGTCTCGCAATGACGTGTATGAGTTGAAAAAAGTGTGGAGTTTGGTAAGACTTGCTTCTAGAAGGAATGATGTTCGCGCGCCTTCCCCCATTGAGCCGCTAATGCCGGAGAGGAGGGGCATTACGCCGCCTTCGGCCCTCAATAAATTGCGAACACAAGACTCATACCAGACCCCGATATCTCCGCGCACCCTTACGACTGCCCATACTGTGACTCACAGTTGTTTCATCTATAAGGAAGTCAGTTCCTGGCTTTGTGCTTTTGTCACACACTCCAACTTTTCGACTTGGTATTCAGCAACATGGACGGCATTAAGAAGACGTTTGCGCAATGCAAGAAGGAGGGCAGGGTATGATCTGGCACAAGCAGGAAGAGGCATAACAGGCTGACATGTGTGTAGTCTGCCCTCGTCACCTATGTGACTGCGGGTTTCCCTACGGCAGAGGAGACGCCAGACATCATGATGGCCATGGAGGCGGGAGGTGCTGGTACGTAGGACGAGCAATTGCTGCCCCAAACGAAGCGAAGACAGTCAATTGACACGCGCAGACATCATTGAACTCGGCATGCCTTTCACGGACCCCATTGCCGACGGCCCAGCAATTCAGACTGCCAACACTGTACGTTGACTTACTCGCCACCATCCCTCCGAAACTCCTCCTGACACCATGTGTCTATAGCAAGCCCTCAAGAACGGCGTCACGATTGGCCATGTCCTCCAGATGATCCGCGACGCGAGGAAGCGGGGCTTGAAGGCACCAGTCCTCCTCATGGGATACTACAACCCTCTGCTCAGCTACGGCGAGGAGAAGATGCTGCAGGATGCGAAGGAGGCCGGAGCCAACGGCTTCATCATGGTCGACCTGCCACCGGAGGAGGCTCTGCGCTTCAGGAACTTCTGCCGTAGCTACGGGTAAGCACACTATCCAGACAAGCTTGAGACGACAGCTAACAAGACAGTCTCTCCTACGTTCCCCTCATCGCACCCGCTACGTCTGAGCACCGCATGCGCGTCCTCTGCAAAATCGCCGATTCCTTCATCTACGTCGTATCGCGCATGGGCGTCACCGGCGCCAGCGGCACAATGAACGCTGCCCTTCCTCAACTTCTCGAGCGCGTCCACAAATACTCTGGCAATGTTCCGGCAGCCGTCGGTTTCGGTGTCAGCACACGTGACCACTATCTGAGCGTAGGCAAGATCGCTGAGGGTGTCGTTATCGGGTCCCAGATCATCAACACATTGATCAAGGCTCCAGCAGGAGAGGGCGCAAAGGCAGTTGAGAAGTACTGCGACGAGATCTGCGGCAAGAGCACCCGCGAGACAACCCGTGAGGTCGGCATTGTCGAGACATTGAACGAGGCGAAGGAGCCCACCGGCGTTCACGTCGACAAGGTCATCACAGATGCCGACACACCAGATGGCCCCGGTCTCGCCGACCAGCTGGAGATGCTCAACACTGACGAGACGGACGGCGCGAATGGAACCAACCAGCAGAACGGATTCGACGAGAAGCACAAGTTCCCCGCACGATTCGGCGAGTTTGGCGGGCAATATGTGCCTGAATCTCTCATGGATTGTCTCTCTGAGCTCGAGGAAGGTTTCAACACAGCGATTGAAGACCCCAAGTTCTGGGAAGAGTACCGTTCTTACTACGACTGGATGGGCAGACCAGGACATCTGCATCTTGCCGAGCGCCTTACCGAGCACGCTGGAGGCGCCAATATCTGGTTGAAGAGAGAAGATTTGAACCACACCGGAAGTCACAAGATCAACAACGCCCTCGGACAGGTACTCATCGCCAGGAGACTGGGAAAGACTGAGATTATTGCCGAGACCGGAGCTGGCCAGCACGGTGTTGCGACAGCCACTGTCTGCGCCAAGTTCAACATGAAGTGCACCATCTACATGGGTGCCGAGGATGTCAGGCGCCAGGCCTTGAACGTCTTCCGCATTAAGTTGCTCGGTGCGCAGGTCGTTGCCGTCGAGGCTGGTGCGCAAACCCTCCGTGATGCAGTCAACGAGGCCATGCGCGCTTGGGTCGTCCACCTCGACACAACCCACTACATTATCGGATCCGCCATCGGCCCTCACCCCTTCCCTACGATTGTCCGTACTTTCCAGTCGATCATCGGAAACGAGACCAAGGAGCAGATGCAGGCCAAGCGTGGCAAGCTTCCCGACGCTGTAGTTGCCTGCGTTGGTGGTGGCAGCAATGCCGCGGGCATGTTCTACCCCTTCTCCAAGGACATGTCCGTTAAGCTTCTCGGTATTGAGGCTGGTGGTGACGGTATTGACACAGACCGCCACAGTGCAACACTCTCCGCTGGAACGAAGGGTGTGCTTCACGGCGTGCGTACCTACGTTATCCAGAACCAGCACGGACAGATCAGCGAGACTCACTCGGTCTCTGCTGGTCTCGACTACCCCGGTGTCGGCCCAGAGCTTTCCAGCTGGAAGGACAGCGACCGTGCCAAGTTCATTGCCTGCACCGATGCTGAGGCCTTCATTGGTTTCCGTCTCATGTCTCAACTCGAGGGTATCATCCCCGCACTGGAGACTTCGCACGCCGTTTTTGGTGCTATTGAGCTGGCCAAGACGATGAACAAGGACCAGGACATTGTCATCTGTGTCTCTGGACGTGGTGACAAGGACGTGCAGAGTGTTGCGGAGGAGCTGCCCAAGCTAGGACCCAAGATTGGCTGGGACCTGAGGTGTAAGTCTGACAGTATCCAAGATGGTTGAACAATGCTAACATTCTACAGTTTAAACGATGATGTTATTCACGCGACACCAGGGAAATGATTGTATATAGCTCAAAAGTGAATAAAAGTTCAAGCAATGTTCGCTACACACATTTTCAACATGATTTTCCAACTGTCTTGGTCCAAGTGAGGCGCAGAGTCATTTCGAAGACTCATCGCCGTACCGTTGATGTACATGGAGACGTACCAGCTGAGAATTAGTCGTCGGCAAATCACAGTCATCACATCCCAACCACCCAAAGTACCTTTCAAAGTTATTGCAATCGGATCATCACGAGACGAGCGCGCCAACGAGATGGTCAAAGTGAGGCTCAACAGACGATCTACCAGATATCACACGTTTTGAAGCGTGATTGGCGCAGAGGATTGCGGGCGAGCTATGCGCAACGATGATGCAGGTCGAGTGGTTTCGGCATGGGTGGGATGCAGGCCATGACTAGCTGCGGCCAGGAGCGGGCCATCGCGAAGACATGCAAAGGTCCCACTGAAGTTGACTGAAGACGAGACGGAAGCTGCATCCCATGGGACGTGGGGTTTAGGCGCGTGACGATGGACGAAGACGCTACCTGTCGCGTATCCCGAGACAGTGTATGGGCGTGGGAGGTGTGGGTGCGGGAGCGCGGCGGAGGGCCAATGGCCGGCCCATGTGTTCCGGCGCGGCCCTGGTGTGCGGTGACGAAAGGCATCCACATCTTCAGGCCAGCGCCGAGAAAGGTTCCGCGCCAATCCCACACATCTCAATGCCGCATTTCCACGTGCTGCACGCCACCTGACCGCCTGCGACTACGCCCTCTAGCCTGCCTGCCGTAGCGTCTTCGCGCTGAAGACTGCCTAACACTGCTCCTCCACAACCCGCAAGCCTCCACCCTGGACGCCTTGAGCCCTTACCGTGACGCTGCGCCCATCCAAGCCTTTGAGCTTCAACCACTCGACCCTACCCCAAAAGAGACACAGCGGGAGACCAAGAGGGAACAAAAGCGACGGGAGAAGCTCGAGCAGCTTCGCGAGGCCGACGAGAT